TATATATATATATATATATATATATGCTGTATATCCATAATCAATATTATTAGTTCCTTTATTAATATAACATTTTTGTTTTGTTTTAGCAGTACTTTACGTTATCTCAGGGAAGCACAGATCACGTTGAATGTGCTTGTGAAACAGAAGTTAATTATGGTATCAATGTGATTCGCTATTTATATCAGGACGAAATTGAAAGCTTTTTTGGGGTACAAAAATGCTGTAACTGACATTCTCTTTGTTTCTTCAGATCCTAACATTTGGTGATTGATAGGAAACCAGAAGAGTTACCATGGAAACGTTAATTAACATCAGCCAGGAGCTAAAATGTATGTAAAGGAGAGGAAGGTGGCTAAAAATGGACACAGTTAATAATGCAGGAGATGGCACTTGAGCACATCTACATATATATCCTGACTGTCAGGATTCCAGAATTTTTAAATAATATTTAATTGATTTGTGTTAACAAAATAAAATCCCATAAAACGTAAGTTTACTAATGGTGGAAAAAACAAATCACAGAGGAGTGTAATTAGAAGCCACCACAAGTAAAGCAGAGGCATAACTATCACTGGTGTAAGTGGTTCAGCACTCTCAGATCTGCAGTGCTTAAATATTTCACTCTGTACTGAAAAGACAAAAGGAACAGGTGCTCTTGATAGGCCACCCCTCAACTAATACCTTTCCACCACTGCCCCACTGCCCTATTAGTCTAATTACTGTGTAAGCTCCATATTGGTCCGTGTAAGAGCTTACACAAAATAAATGACCTTTTGAGTGTTCGGGCCTTGGAACTGGCTACTGGCTTGTGATCACAACACATTCATGTTATCTTTTATATCAGATTGGCACCTCTAAAAAAGCAAAGTAAAATCATGCATTGAGCCCAGGTACTCCCAGATGGAGTTCATACCCCACCAAGCCTCAGGTAACTGGGAATGGCTGCACCTCCATTGATTACAGTAATCCTACCACCAGAATTATCTAAAGCCTTTTGTGCACACATTACTTGATACATTGCTTACTTTTTTCTGAAGCAGGATCCATGCATCGCCCTGTAGACATAAAATAGGAAAAGGTTAAAAAGGTAAAAATTCAACCTATGTAGAATATCCATATCCTAGGATTAGCATCACATGCACTGAGTGTGTTCCTACACTGCTGTGTGTACAGCTGGTTCTGCCCACTACTAAAACCTGAAGAATATTCACTGTCTACATTCTTGAAGTGCATGTACAGCCAAAAGCTCTTTTTACTTTGCATAAAGTAGGAAAATATTAAAACCACTATCATTATTTTTTGCTGTCTGTATTTCCAATTATATTCTGAACAGAAAATGATAGGAAATCTCTACAAAATGAGATAAATTCTGTCTTAGTTATCACCGTATATAGTTATCACAGAGCATAGAAGGTATAACTGAAGGAGACCAGTGTAGGAACAGTAGCCAACCAACCATCAGTCGAGGGGTATCCCATGATCTGGGGTTATATTAATCCCATAAGACCCCATTCACATCAAATCCGTTGTGATCCGTTTCAATGGATTCAACGGATGTCAATGGGAGGGAACCAAAAAATGTATGTGTGTGAATGGTAGCAGTTCACACCACTGCGTTGTGTTGGAGTGCACTGAAAAAAAGTAGAGCGTGCCCTACTTTATTTCAGCACAATGCAATGCGTCAAAAATGCATGTAAACACAAAGCAAGTTTAAAAAAAAAGCAATACAGTGACGTTTGTCCACTTAGGACATGTTACTTCCCATAAAGATTGGAAAAAAATGGGAAAAAAAGCAATGAAAGGGATGTAAAATGGAGGGTGCAATTTTCCCAGAGCGCAGGTCTTTTATGCACTCCCCAAGATCCATAAGTGTCTGGATAAACCCCCAGGGAGACCTATTGTCTCAGGCTGTGGGTCACTCACCGAAAATATAAGTACCTATGTGGATCACTTTCTTCGACCGCATGTTGAATCCCTGGCCTCTTATGTTAGAGACACCCCACATCTAATCTCTCTCATTGAAGATCTGGAAGTACCATCCGACACATTACTGGTGGGTTTGGATGTTGAGGCCCTATACTCCTTAATACCACATTCCAAAGGTTTAGAGATGACTGATGGATTCCTGGCCACATTAGGAACCTCAGAAAGCGAACACAATGGATTCTTGTTACAACGACTGGAATTTATCCTAACCCATAATGCCTTTCTTTTCAATGGAAAGTATTATCTACAAAAACAAGGAACTGCGATGGGAACTAGGTGTGCACCATCCTATGGCAATTTATATCTGGGCGGATGGGAACAGGACTTGTGAGCCAGGGAGGACTTGTCTATGTACTTGTGCCATATTCTATCATGGCACAGGTACATAGACAATATCCTCATGTTATGGACAGGAGGGAGAGCACTACTACTGGACTTTGTCAATATCTTGAATTTTAACACACTAAATTTTAAATTCACACTGACAGTAGATCCAGAGAGATTGCCATTCTTGGATGTGTTAATATGTAAGGATGACAAAGGGGTTCTGTACACCAGTCTATACAGGAAGGACACTGCTGGTAATGCTATTTTAGAGGCCATCAGTGCCCACCCACTGACTCTAAAGAACAGCATCCCTTATGGCCAATACCTAAGAGTCGGGCGAAATTGCACGACCGATGCCGACTTTGAAAGGGAAGCCAAAAATCTTAGAAGTAGATTAAGAGCAAGAGGGTACTCCAATAAAATCCTTAAAAAATGATACAGAAGAGCAAAAGCTAGATCGAGGACAAAGGGGAAGAAAAAAAGTACATCTAAAGGTAGTCAATATGAGGACCCACTAGTGAGATTAATTCTAACCTTTAATAACCAACATAATGAGGTTTCCAGAATTCTGAGTAGACACTGGCGCTGTCTAACAGAAGACACCAGGATATCTAAATTCCTGCGTAATAAACCCACCATAACATATCGCCGATGTCCATCCCTTAAAGATAAACTAACTAACACTGAATACGATACTAATAGAGGTAAATGTTGCAAATACCAGGGAACCTTCCAGTGCCAAAAATGCACGTTTTGCAGATACATTCAAACTGGAACAGAAAGAACTACCCCCAGAGGAAAAAAGATTAAAACCCGTCACTTCGCCAACTGTGAGACCAAAGGGGTAATATATCTAATGCTCTGTAAATGCGATATGTTTTATGTGGGTAAAACCAAACGTATGCTTAAAAATAGAATCTCAGATCACCTGGCAGACATTGCGGCCTGTGACCTGAGATCGCCAGTAGTAAGGCTAGGGCTGCAGCTAACGATTATTTTCAAAATCTATTAGTTGGCCGATTATTAAGTTCGATTAATCGGATTAAAAAAAAGGCTCCAGTGATGGACTACTAGTTTGTATTGAGATTGTAGTCCCTCACGGGAGCAAGCTTGGAGCGGTGGAAGTAAAAAAAAGTGTGGTGTGGAATATAGTACATTATACAGCGCCGCAATGCAAAATACCAGCAGCTTTAGAGGAATACAACAAATCGGAGCAATAGTACACTATAGTGTACTATTGCTGGGATTTGTAGTCCTCTGTAGCTGGCGTTATTCTGCATTGCGCTGTATAATTTATTATTGCTGGGATTTGTAGTCATCTATAGCTGGTGGTATTCTCCATTGCGCTGTATAATGATTATCACAGTCCGGCAGAGCGGTGTGGGGGTGGAGACAGGCCGCGCTGTCACAGGAGGCGGAGCTCTCCTCCCGCACCGCTCGCTCAGCCTCCTGTGACAGCGTGTCAGAGAGGAGAGCAAGTGCAAACACTCAGCGATCAGTGATTGCTGAGTGTTTGTAGATAATTGAGGACATTGTATGTGTACTATATCCTCAATTATGAATAATTGGGAGTGATCTACATCACCTCCTGTTCATTCATAGTTGTAGATATAGTAAACACTGTACTCATCTTATGAATGAACAGGGACACTCAGTATAGGGCTCAGGGCTAGTGTTAGCAGCGGCTCATGAAAGATTTTTGACAAATATGCTTAATTGATGGAATAATTATTTAATTAATCTACGAATTATATAAACCACCAGTGTCAAGTAGAGACATTCACGCCCCTCTGAAGAAGCCCCACTTACTGGGGGGAAACGCGTCAGGGCTAGCATGCTTCCCACTTCCCTCTGATCAATCCGATATACTTTTAAACCTGTGGCGGGTTGGAGGCTTCGCTACCGAATGAACCAAGCCTGGGTTACCGTAGCGGCAATTGGATCTGTTGTCTGTAGGCTGAGAGCCGTCACTCGGAGACACATCAACCTGGCCGCATTGTGCGACGGAACGAACAGGAGATATCTCTGGTACCATATACGGTGGAGACAGCCTTCTTGTGCACGTGCACCCAGGAACCCTGTGGAGTAAACTTAATCTTGATGAATGGTCTAGAGTGACCCCTACGATCACCCAACTTGAATCCTCTTATAGATATCTCTCCTCTCCCTGTTTATGGGTGATTGCTGAGAAACCATCAATCTGTGTGGATTGCCATACTTTGGGACCTGTGTAGATCGCTGCACTGAGGCATCATATGGAGTGAGTAACCACTTTAACCACAACAATACTTTTGTATCCGACTTGTCTCTTCAGAATTGGATTCACTCACTAAGTGACTGCCTACCACCCGCGAAGGGTAATTATATCTATGCTATTAGCTATATTCATTACTGAGCTGCTGTAGGGGAGTTTTTGTATTTTAAGGTTTTAAATGTATGTTCTGTGTGGTTTATACTTTTTTCTACTTCATTAAAATGTATTATGATGAAATGTATATGTGATTAAATACTTATTAGACAGTTCCATTTTGGGATTTCCTTTTGCTCAAGGGAACCATTTTATTTGGTGCAATTTAGGTCCAATTTTGGTGTGAACGGGCCCTGTTAGATGGTGACTTTTCAGGAATTTGAATTTAGTTGCTCTTTTAAAACAGAAAGAATAGGTACAATAATTAAGAGAGCTGTGGCAGCAATGTTTCTACTGCATAGGCTAATAGCTGTGGCATTAATCCAAGAAAATCACATGTTGGGGTAGAAATTTTGTGTATAAAGTTTGTACATCTTTCTGGGTTTTGAGGGTATGATGCATTTAAAGATTTGTATGGTCAGTACTATCTGATGGCCTGTGGAAGTTAGCGTCAGGATTAGGTAGCACCAAGCAAAATCAAAAACACAATTACAAATGATGCAGCTTCCAGGCAATGCAGAAAATGCTGCTGGCCTCAGTCCCATAAAATCATGAAGCCCAAGCAGAACGGTTACTCCCCTTTTTGTGGGTTTACATGACATATAATCTAAAACAGAAAGAAAACTGAACCCTTTAATCGAGAGGCTAAACAGAGCCCTTAACGCGATCATTAAATCTCATATATGCTTTAAAAACGTTAAAGTCATTTTCATTATCTTTAAATCTGGTTCAGTCAATTCTGCCGTGAAGGTCCATGTGCAGACCCTGTGCCCTAGTCTCCCACTTAGACTTCTGGTGCAGACTACAAGGTGCTGTTTAAAGACACACATTCTGTACGAATGGCGCACTGTTGTCACCGTGCCCTGAGAAATTCCATCGAGCCATCGCTGTAGCACATGAAGGCAGGAAATGGCTGCAAAGAGGTTGCAAGAGATCCTAGCACTGAGATGCACAAAAGGATGGGAAAAAAAGATTAAAATAAGTTTTTTTAAAATGCAGTTGTTTATGGTACACAGTGCTTTAGCAAGCGCAATGTTATTAAGTGTTAAATCTACTTATAACTTTCTTGTATATAAGGTGTGTGTGTGTGGGGGGCGGGGGGGGTTCTGTGGATTTGTCCCAGGGACATTTTAATTTTTCCTGCGTATGAGATGTATCTTGGTGGCTATCTTTATAAAACAAGCTTACTCACCCTAAGGGACAACAATTATGATTTTGCGCAACAGTCAGTTGAGCAATATTGAACAAAAAGTTGAGCAATGTCGATTCAAAAAAAAACTGCGAAAAACTGTAACAAACAAAATTGCTTGTCAGCTCAGCCTATAAAATGAGTGT